GAGAGAGAGAATTTTAATATTTATTTTTTAGTTTTCGGCGGACACATCTTTGTTTGTATGTGGTGCTGAGGATCGAACCCGGGCCGCACGCACGCCAGGCGAGCGCGCTACCGCTTGAGCCACATCCCCAGCCCTAGTATTTTTTTAAATATATATTTATTTTTTAGTTATAGGTGGTCGTAATATCTTTATTTCTTTTTTATGTAATGCTGAGGATCAAACCCAGTGCCTCCTGCGTGCTAGCGAGCGCTCTACTTCTAAGCCACAACCCCAGTCCTAGTTCTTTATTTTTTAATTTTATTTTTTGGTACTGGGGATTGAACCCAGGGGCTCTTTACCACTGGGCTTTTTTAATTTTTTGAGACAGGGTCTAACTAAGTTGCCGAGGCTGACCATGAACTATAGATTTTCTTGCCTCAGCCTCTGGAGTCACTGGGATTACAAGTGTGCACCATTGATTGCTTAGTTATTTATCTTTTGTTTTTTTGAATGATAGCAATTTAAAAAAAAATTTCTAAAATTTATTCTAATCAGTAAGTTTTTAAAATTTGATAAAATATACATAAGATGAGCCTTACCATTTTAACCTTAAAGTATACTATTCATGATATTTAGTACATCCACAGTGTTTTCCAACCTCAGCATAATCTAATTGATAAAACTGTTTTTGTTACTGCCCATTAAATAGTCACTTTCTATTTCTTCTTCTCCCAGTCACAGCCCCTTTCTGTCACTGTGGATTTGCCTATTCTGGAAATTTCATCTAAATGTAACATACAAAAATGTGGTATTTTGTGCCTAACTTTCACTTTGAAGAGTTTTTTATAGTTCATATTGTAATATGAATCAGATCTTCATTATTTATTTATTTATTTAGAGACAGGGTCTTCCTAAATCAACTATATTGGCCTTGAACTTGTAATACTTCTTTTTTTTTTGACATTTATTTTTTAGATATAGGTGGACATAATACCTTATTTTATTTTTATGTGGTGCTGAGGATCAAACCCAGTGCCTCACATCTGTTAGGCAAGGCTCTACCACTAAGCTACAACCCCAATCTGAGACATTTGTTTTTATCCTTACCTTTTGGTTATTGTGGATAATGCTACTGTGAACATATATGTAAAAGTTTTTATTTGAACATCTGTTTTCAGTTCTTTTTGGTATACATCCAGGAGTGGAATTGCCAGGTCATAATATAAGTATGTTTAACTTGTTGGAGAATTATCAAGTATTTAAATTTAATCTACAGTTCCATACCACATTTCATATGACTGGTAGAAATTTAACCTCATTCATTCCTAAGAGTGCTGTATCCTTTCTCCTAGCTTGAGTCACAATTGTAGAGTCTTATGCTATAACATGGTATCAGAGGGGGACCCCTTGGGGCATTGGTCAAAACTCAGGCAATCTCTGAGACATCCATGGGATCTATCCATAAGTTCTCTTTGGATCTGAAAGCTGTCTGCTCTTTATTCTTGCCATAGAGAGATCTCTTGTGAGACTTGGTTCTTTCTCCCAGATATGTCAACATAGCCATTCTTTTTTTTTTAAATATTTATTTTATTTTATTTTTAGGTGTAGATGGACACAACACAATGCCTTTATTTTTATGTGGTGCTGAGGATCGAACTCCGGGTCTCCCTGTGCTAGGCGAGCGCTCTACCACTGAGCCACAATCCCAGCCCCTACATAGCCATTCTTGTTCAGGCCCTTGAACCTGCCTCAGGGCATTAGGGAGCAAAACTTTGGTCCTTCTGCTCTGAAATGTACAGACTCTTTTCCTCTTCAACTCCAGCCCAGGAAAAAATTTCTAGTTTACTTCTCTTCCCAGGCTGCTTTGCTCATATTCTTTCAGGTTAGTATTTGTTATTTGTTTTAGTTTTAGACTTATTATTTCCACCTAATTATAGGTGAGGGGTTTTCATATCAGAAATTGTCGTGTTTTCTACTCGTTATTTAAATTTTATTAGAAACCATCTAACTTGTTAAGTTTTGTTTATACTTATATGATTAATGTTACTCAGTCTTTCAATGTGTTACACCTGGGCTGGAGAATGTTTGGGAATAGTGTTCTCATTATAATACATGATTGAGTCTTTCCAGGGATATTTGATTTTAAATTCATTACTGCTAGAATGTTGATAAGTTGTGAGATCTAAAAAGAAAAAGACCAATCCAGGCCGATCAAGGTAAAGTAGAACGAGAAAGGAAAAAAACACAGGGAAAAAACAGTGAGACATAATTATTTCTACTTCTTATAGTAAAGTAAGAGGAAATGAAATATTCCTTGAATTGAAAAATAATTTTGTGTCTTTCTTGCACTAGTTTTTGACTGTTCTTAAAAATTATAATTTATATAAAAATACATATCCTAAAAAGTATTATTTAGTGAGTTTTGACAGTCATATATACCCTTATAAGCATCACTCAAATCAAGGATATGAAAATTTGTCACCTCCCAAAATTCTCTGTTTTCTCTTTCTAATAATTTTCTTACCTCCTACCCTGTACATCTCCAGAGACAACCACTTTCTGATTTCCATCATTAATTAGTGTGTTCATTGTTGGTGAACTTGATGCAAATGAAATCATGCAAGTAGTTTTTTTGTGTGTGTGTTGAACTTCTTTAGGCATAATAGTCTATTTTCTCTGTATATATTTTAGTGGGTATTTATGTAAACAATAATATTTCCCTACATATTCATAATAAAAACATCAAAATCAGGAATTTAACATTGATATATTACTACCATGTAATCCTCAGCCCAGTTTAAGTTTTCCCAGTTATCTTTCATAGCAATCACATGTTTTCTTTTATGTTGCTCCTTCAGTCTGGACCTTTATGAGCTTGATTCTTTCTAAGATGATAGGCCAGTTATCTTGTAAGATGCTCCTTAATTGTTTTTTGTAAACTATTGATATAAACTCAGGATATGGTCTTTGGTAGTTATTTCACAGAACTGATGCTGTTCCCCCTACTCCAGGGGGAGTGTGTGTGTGGGGGAATACCAGGATTGAATCCAAGGGTACTTAACCACTGAGTCAGATCCCCAACCTGTTTTATTCATTTTGAGACCATGTCTCATTAAGTTGCTTAGGGCCATGCTAAGTTGCTAAGGCTGGCTGTTCTTGAACCTGCAATCCTCCTGCCTCAGCCTCTCGAGTTGCTGGGATTACGGGCGTATGCACCACACCTGGCTACTATTTTGCTTTTTATTATAGTTTGTAAGGTGGTGTATACTTTCAATTTGTCTTACTGATGGTATTCACTGTGATTACATGATTAAGGTAGTTTTATCAGATTTCTGCACTATAGAGCTACTGTTTTCCTTTTTGTAATTAATATGTACTTTGTAAGGAGTTATTTTGAATCTAGGTAAATAAATCATTCCTTATAAAATTTTCAGTTCTTTTATTTATATTTGTTTTGGATTCATGTTTTTCTTTATTTTAGTCAGTGGGTGATAATCTCTTATTATCATTATTTTTATGCATGTGGCAGCCATAGAAGTATGCTATATGGATTTCCTTTCAAGAAGGAGCTTGCTGTTCAGCTGCAAAGAGTATAGTTAGTTGATAGCTTCCGGTTTCAGCATGTTTAGGATCTGCTTCAACTTCAGAGCTGAGGCTAGGCTCTTACCAGGCAGCCAGTAGGCAGTGACTAAGCATGACACACAAACTAGGGTCAGGCTATTTCTCTCCAAAATAAAATTCTTCTAGTGATCAGTCTGCTCTGGAGCTCCCTGCTGAGTTGGCTATATATCAGGCCTGCATTGCTGAGGCTCTCCTTGCCTATTCTTACTTCCTTTCCTCTTTTCTTTTATGGATACTGGATTTTCTGCCTAATTCTGCTTCCAATTTCTTTTCTCTTTTACAGTCCTTACAACCCTTACCTCAGTATATTCTATCTTACTCCATCTCAGTGTCTGTTTTTTGGAGGGTCCAACTTATACAATGCTAAACTGTCCGCAATTTGGCCAATGGAGGCCATTTAGAATGAAGCCAGCTTATGTCCCCATTTGACCTAACCCATCTTTCTTGAACACTCATCCTGCTTTCTGGTACAAGAAGATGTTCTAGGCTTATTTTGAGCCTTCCTTTCTTCACCCTTGGAATCAGCCATTTCAGAGCCTTAATTTTTTTTTGAAAAATGATATCTGGAAGCCAAGATTTGGCTCTAAGAAAGCTCATTGGTATGAGTGTTGTTGTTCCTGGTCCTTCTTAGCGTATAAAGCTAGGGTATAGATACATGTAAATACATATATACCTACCTACATATATGTAGAACCGTATTTATATCTACATTTATTTTTATATTTATATTAAAAGAATGAGTTTATATTGATTCTTTTATTCCAATACTTGTGATTCTTTCTAAATATGTCACTCCTCTGAAGACAAAAACCTGTTTTCTGTTAGTCTTAATTTATTATTTCATTAGTCCCTTCATATACTACTGACTCTCCATCTCCTCTGCCACCTCCTCACCTATGTGGATACCTTCCTCATCTCCCTGGGGCTCCAACACCGTCTACCAGGCCACTTCCCAGTGTGGATGCTCTTTTACCAGTTTTTTTTTTTAAACAACAACTTTTTTAATGTGGTACTTTTTTATATAGGGCCCTGAATGTGCTACGCAAGTGCTCTACCACTAAGCTACAACCCCAGCCAAACCTACTAGTTTCTAAAATCTGTTATCCCATTGATAGAAGTTTGCAGTATTTCTAGTTTTTTCCTATTATGTGTAAAACTTCTACAGACAGTCTTGTATAAATCATCTTTTGGACATATTTTTTGTTGTTGGGTCGTAGTGTAGGTGTATTTTAATTTTATAACAAATTGCCAATTTTCCAAACTGACTACTCCCTGAAGCAGTCTGTGAACATTCCAGTTGCTCTATAGTCTTAAGAACATTTGATGTTGTTGTCTTTTTTTTTTTTTTTTTGCCAATACCTTCATTTTATTTATTTATTTATTTTTATGTGGTGCTGAAGATCAAACCCTGTGCCTACGCATGCCAGGTGAGTGTGCTACTACTGAGCCACAACCTCAGCCCCATTGTCAGACTTTTTTATGTATTCTGTTATGTATGTAGCAATCTCTCTTTCTTGTTTAATTTGTATTTTCCTGATGAATAATGAGCACTTTTTTTTATGTGTTTTTGCACTGTGTTGCATATTTTACTTTGTGAAGCGTCTACTCCTTTTTTTAAAAATTGGGTCATCTGTCTTTATTAGTGAGTTATAAAGTTTTTTATGGTAGTATTACAAATAGTTTCTCTAATTCTGTGACTTGCCTATTCATTTTTTTTTCCAGTAGTGTCTTTTGATAAGCAGAAGATTTTAATTTCTGTGTCTATTTTTTGGATTTCGTCTAAGAAATCTCTGCCCACCCTGGGATTGCAAAACTTCCTTTTATGAATTTGAGGTTCTACTTTTGTGTTTAGGTATATACCTAAAATAATTTTCAGATGTGGTTTAAAATAGTTATCAGTTTTATTTTTTTCCATAGTTTTTCAGTTATTCTGCCATGTTTATTGAAAAAACTTTCCTTTGTGCTTTGAGATAGCCTTGGAACCTTTATAGAAAATTATTTGTATGAGTGTTTCCTGTCAACTTTGTTTCAGTGATCTGTTTGATACTTAGGCCACAGCTATACTATCTTGATTAGTAAGTATACCAAGTTTTGATGTCAGAGTAATTTCTCTGTCTTTATTCTTTTTAAAGATTAGTATTTATATTAAATAAATATAAATAAATACTTTGGCTATTCCAGATTTTTTGCATTTCCATATAAATTTTAGTATTTTCATATGAATTTCAGAATTATTTTCAGTTTTATGAAAAAGCATGTAGGAATTTTAAGGTTTAATTGAATCTGCAATGCAAATAACTTTTATGACAGACATGAGTAATATTTATTGAGTAACTAGCCAGGTAACCTTTAAAATTTTTTTATTAATAGACTATTTTTTAGGTTCACAACAAAAATAAGTGGAAAGTACAGGGAATTCCTGTATATCTCCTGCCCCTTCACATATTAAGCTTCCACCATTGTCAACATCTAGCACCAGAATGTTACATTTGTTATATTAAATGAATATATATTATGTCACTAAAGACATTAAATAAATGATTACTTAATAATAATTATGTTGTTATAATTTAGATAGGTGCTAAAAAAATATAAGTTAACTCATCTGGAGAACTAGAGAAATTTGTAGTTTGGAAATGCTATTTCAGCTGATCCCTGAAGGGAAAATAGAAATGAGCCAGGCAAAGAGAACAGAAAAGGGGGTTCTAGAAGCAGAAATAGCTTTTAAATAGCAGAAGGGTATTGTCGGGTCATTCTAGGTCATGATATAAATATTGAACATATTTTTAAAAAATACAAAATTAACAGAGATAAAGGAATCCCTAAAGTTGGATCCAAACAAAAAATATACCCAAATTGAATTTGAAATGATCTTAATGAAAATGGAAACATACAAAATTTGTGGAATACAACAAAAGCAACATTTACAAGGAAATTAATAGCTTTATATGAGGAAGAAAAGCTTAAAACCAGTGATCCAAGTTTCCCATTTTAAGAAGTGATAATATGGAGAGTAAAATAACCCAAAATTATTGAAAAGAAAGAAATATGGCAAAAAATCAATGAAATAAAAGATAGCATACAACTGAGAAAAAAATTAAAAATAGGTTCTTTAAAAAGTTCAATAAAATGCATAAGCCTCTAACTAGACAGATCAAGGTAAAGAAAAGATAACACATTAACAGCATCAGTATTGTAAAAGGGGACAACACTTCAGATTCTGCATTCACAGAAAGAATGATAAAGGAATACCGTAAATTTATTTGATACCAATAAATACTACAGGTTGGATCATGCATTCTGAATGGAAGTGATATCATCCTTAAGGTGACAAAAATTGATTCTTGGGAGGCAAGATCCACTGAATGTCTTGATGTATAAGACTTCTCATAGAAACAGTGGGGCCAATGGCTCTTTAAATTAGACCTCAACTCTTGACTTATAAACTTGGGGAACTGTCTAAATCAGAATCACCTCTTCCTACCCCAACCAAATTATGCCTATTCAATTCTTTGATATATTCAGCATATATCTATTGTGTTTGTTTATTGATGTTCCACTTCCAGTGAGGGTTTCTTTCTTTTCTTTTTTTTTTTTTTTTTTTTGTAAAGTTTGGCTCCTGAGTTCTTTTGATATGACTCTTGTAGTGTCTTGATGAATATCTTGCTCACAGCTTTGAAAAATATTCTAGCTCATCTTGTATATTTCATGCTCTAGACTAGGAATCAAACATTCCTTCAGTATACTACAATTGATTTTTAATGGAAAACGGTTACTAGGAATGTTCTCCATTATTGGATATATCAGAGGGTTCTGAAGAGTAGAATTATTCTGGTTAAATGTTGGGCATAAAGCAGTATGGTATTTATTCATTCATCAGGTATTTATTAATTATTTATCATGTGCCATTCTCTCTGATGCTGGAGATATAATGAACAACACAGGCAAAGACAATATCTTTAGGAGCTTACCCAGGGTTCTTGTAACTGTTGCTAATGATCTTGACCAACACTTCACCTTTTGTGGTTTTCTTCATTTATTAGATTACAAAATTGTACTCAATGGCTTTTAGTGTCCTTAGTTTAAAAGTTAAGGATTCTGTTTTTGTTATTGTTGTTGTTGTTTGTTTATTTTTTGTTTCCAGGCTAATTCATTGTTTGTGGTATCCTTTTCTCTCTTTTCCCTATCCTCTTACAGAGATGACAGAAGAAGAGCAGTTTGCTCTGGCTCTTAAAATGAGTGAGCAGGAAGCTAGGGAGGTGAACAGCCAGGAGGAGGAAGAAGAGGAGCTCTTGAGAAAAGCCATTGCTGAAAGCCTGAATGTAAATATGCTATGCTGAAAAAGTTTGTGGGATTTATCAGCAATGTTTTTTGACTTCTACATTGTTATAATTGCATTAGGAACTAGCTGTGGTATTTTATAGAGTTTTCAACTAACAGATATTTCCCATAATAATTTTTAATATCCATGTTGAATTGTTGGTTAACCCAAATTGAAATATTTCATAAATACTTGAGTTTTCTTCTACCCACAGCTTTTTTGAGTCTGTCGCTTAAAAGAACCATAGCAAGTTGACAGCTCCCAAAAAGAGTTAGAGAACACCAAGAATTCCAAAAGAAGCAAGATTAGATGTTTACCTCCCCTGATTTGTGGGGAGAACAAAGGAATGGGTAGTTTTTAAAATAATGTTGTGATTTGAATATGTACAATTCAAATTATTTTAAATATTAAGATACTTGCCAATGGCAGGTTCTGAGCCATCCTTGATTTTTTGGTTGTTGTTATTTTGAGATGGGGCCTTGAAATGTTACCTAAACTGGCCTCGAACTTGCAGGTTCAAGTGGTCTTCCTGCTCAGTCTCCCAAGTAGCTGGAACTGTACGCATGTGCCACTGCACCCAGCCCAAGCCATCATTTATGCCATTCGCCCCTCGTATTTGAAAAGGGAATAGTATAGTGATCTAGTATAGCACTTTGCACATAGGCATTCAGTACATGTTATGGAATTCATTTGAATTGAGCATCTACATGTTGGAGAAGAAAAACTCCTAGGGGCAGTGGCTTCCCCTTATTGTCCTTCCTGTGACTCTTCATATATAGCTGTTTTAATAATAAACCTGGTCTGGTGTGGGATCACTTGTTTCAGACTTGCCGGCCTTCTGATGCCTCTGCTACCAGATCTCGACCTCTGGCCACTGGACCATCTTCACAGTCCCACCAAGAGAAAACCACAGACTCTGGGACCACTGAAGGCATGTTCTGGTTCCTTCTACTCATCAACTATAACCATATCACAGGGATCTCATTTTGAGAGTAGAAATGCCCAAAATCCCTTTGGTGATGTTAAAGAGGTTCAAACAGAAAGTAGTTGAGATCTCACTAATATCCAACGTACTTTTATCTCCAAGGAAAAACCAACCTTTGGTTAAACCCAAAGAAGAGCTTTTCTTACCCACATTTTATAATTCTTGGTAAGTGATAGCTTACCAACCCCTCTTAATTAAAAAGTTTGTCCTTAGCCCTACTTTTTCTCAAATACCTACAGGCATATGGCAGCTGGTACCTCCATCACTGTTTAAAGGCTCACATATCAGTCAGGGAAACGAGGCTGAGGAAAGAGAGGAGCCTTGGGACCACACTGAAAACACTGAAGAGGAGCCGGTCTCTGGCAGCTCAGGAAGCTGGGACCAGTCAAGCCAGCCAGTGTTTGAGAATGAGAACGTTAAATGTTTTGACAGATGTACTGGCCACTTGGCTGAGCACACAAAGTGTGGGAAGCCACAGGAAAGTACTGGGAGGGGTTGTGCTTTTCTCAAAGTTGCCCAGGGTAGGGGGGACACATCTAGGCACTGTCTGCCTACCCCAGCAGATGCCAAAGTTCTTCAGGACACTGGGGGAAATGTGCACTATTTCTGGGGTATTCCATTCTGCCCTGCTGGAGTAGACCCTAATCAATATACCAAGGTCATTCTCTGCCAGTTGGAGGTTTATCAAAAGAGCTTAAAAATGGCTCAGAGGCAGCTTTTAAAAAAAAAAGGGTTTGGGGAACCAGTGTTACCTAGCCCTCCTTCTCTGATCCAGAATGAATGTGGCCAAGGAGATCAGGCTAGTGAAAAAAATGAAGGCATCTCAGAAGATATGGGAGATGAAGACACAGAGGAGAGGCAGGAGTCTAGGGCATCTGTCTGGCACTCAAAACCCAAGGATTTCCAAGAAAGCCCAATTAAAAGCTTGAAACAGAAACTTTTGTTGGAGGAAGAACCAACAACCAGTCATGGTCAGGTAAGGGTCAGTGATGCTGTAATTAAGGATGATTTATTCACAGATTAAACAAGGATTATTTTAGCTTTTTGGTTTTTTTTTTGTGGTTCCCCCCAATGATTAAAGTAATACATGCTCTCTAAAGAAAATTAGTAAAATACAGAATATAAAGAATTACCTATAATCCCACCACCAACAGGCAATCATCACTATTTCTATACATATAAAATATAATTTTCTACTTAATTTTTGAACAAAACGAAGACTGTTCAGTGTAAACTTTTTTCCTTTCCCCCACCTTATGGTTTATTCTAGGTCTTTTCCTATTTATTAAATACACTTGAAAACATTCTATCATATGGGTATATCATAATTTATTATTCTTTAAAAATTTTATTTCTAAAAAGCTACTTTTGACTAGGTAATATTCACAAGGACAAAAATTCAAAAAGATGTAAATTTAAAAATCTTGTCTCTACCCTCCAGCCAACCATTTCTCCTCTCTGGACTCAATCTGTGTTAACTAGTTTCTGGTACATCCTTCCAAGGAATTTATATACTATAAGTATTATACACATTCTTTTCCCCACTGTTTTTACACAAACAATAGCATACTAAACACTTTATTCTGCCCTTGCCTTTTAAATTTAATGTCTATGAGATTGTGTTATAATAGCACATAATGAATTTCTTCATTTGTTAATCTTTTTTCTTTTTGGATGTGGAATATACCATGTGTGAATGAATCATAGTTTGTTTTATCCAGTAATGGTCTATTAGTGAACATTTAAGTTCTTCCAGTATTTCCTATTACAAACAGCACTGCAGTGATTTTTCTTAAACATTTCATCCACATGGAAGATATTTGTAGGATAATCTCATGTTGATATAGCTGGTAGATCAAAGGATATCTGCATTTACAATTTTGTTAGATATTGTCAAACTTCCCTCCTTAGAAGTTGTATACATTTACACGACCACCAGCAATATATGAATATAGTTTCTTTGTACCTATACCAGTATAGCATTATCAGACTTCTTGAACATTGCCAATCTGAGAGATGAAAAAGGTATTTCAATGTAGTCCTTTTTCCTTTTACTTTTTTGCAGTGTTGGGGATTAAACCCAGGGCTTCATACCTGCTAGGCAAGCACTCTGCCTCTGAGTTTATAATCCCAGCCCTTATGTTAGTACATTATTGAATTTTTAACTTACAATATGAATGTAATCATTTTTTTATATTAAAATTATCTATAGATTTTCCCCTTTTTTTTTTTTTGGTACCAGGGATTGCACTAGGGGTACTTAACCACTGAGCCATATCCCCAGCTCTTTTTTAGTTTTTATTTAGAGACAGGGTCTCAGTAAGTTGCTTAGGGCCTCACTAAATTGCTGAGGCTGGCTTTGAACTTGCTGTCCTCCTGCCTTAGCCTCCTGAGCTGCTAGGATTACAGGTGGTGCCATGATGCCCAGCCTAGATTTCATTTAAAAATATATATATATTTTTTAGTCATAGGTGGACACAATATCTTTATTTTACTTTATGTGGTGCTGAGGATCGAACCCAGTGCCTCATGTATGCTAGGCGAGCATTCTACCTCTGAGCCACAACCCCAGCCCCCTAGATTTCATTTTTAATGACATATTCTGGCTTATGAGTTTACCATATTATATATTTTTTAAAATTTTTTTATCACTGGATATTTTGGTTGTGTGAAAGTTAGATCTGTGTGAAACTTTTCTTCATTCAAAATCAGTGCCCTTGGGTATAGGGAGCCAGAAAAATACTGTATTAAAGAAGGGGGCTTGGGTTGAGGCTCAGCAATAGAGTGCTCGCCTCGCATGTGAGAGACCCGGAGTTTGAGCCTCAGCACCACATAAAAATAAATAAGTGAAACAAGGTAATGTGTTCAACTACAACTGAAAAATAAATATGAAAAAATTGCATTATTTGTTTAAAAAAAAAGAATTGTGAACATACAGACTCGCTATTTATTGCCACATTGCTTTTCAGAAAGATTGTTCAAATTTGTATTTCCTCGCTCTAGCAGTATATGAAAATACATGGTTCACTACAGCCTTGCTAACATTTAAAAAAAATAAAACAAACTTATTGATTATACAGGCAAATAATGAAAATATTATTTTCATAGTTTTCCCTTTTATCCTGATCTCTTGCTTTCAGGAATTGTGTGTATAAGGAATTTGTGTGTTTATATTTTCTGTTGAACATGACTTTGTTGGAGTTGCCCACATGTGTAACTCTTTAGCTGATAGAGATAGCAAGAGGGTCTCAGGAATTGAGACTCAGAAAAAACATTTACCTTTGGTCAAATGGCATAGTCTGTAATGAAGGTTATTAAAACTTTATAATCAGATGATAGCTCATTTCTGGCATTGCTGCAACAAGGAAAGTTGTTAATGAAGATAAGAGGTCACCTCAGTGGCATTATGGCAGGGAGATGTTGATGTGGTCACTACTTTTCAGAGTCTGATCCTTAATTTTTCAGTCTAGGTGCTGGAACTTATTTCCAGAAATTACCACATTATGTGGAGTTGTGACTGTCACTTAGCCAAACTTCAAGCTGATGTATGTACACCAAATGACACATTTCTTATGGAATAAAGACATTTTTAGTGACCAGACTACTCAGATCCACCATATATTGTACCTCTTTCTATGATGAGTGTATCTAGAAAGCTGAAATAATAATCAGAAAATGGAAACTTTAAGAGATGGTTTAACTAGTCTATGGAAAGACCTGATAAGCTATCATTGCCTTACAACAGAGGCCATTTCTGTGATAACTGGCTGATGGTTTAATTCATTTTCATTTCCCGGGCCATGGTGTTGAAAACACTACTTGAGTTTGATCTTTGGATTTTTCTTCTTTAAGATTCAATCAAACTATCCCATTCCTGTAACTTATTTCTTTAAGTATAAAATGCAATATCTTGATTAGGCCACAGCTTCTTTAGAGCTTTATTTCTACATTTTCCTGTTCACTTTATTTAGATTTAGGTAGTCTAATCAAATTTGGTTGCACATTTTGCTATCTTATTTTCATAGTCTAAAAAAACCTCACTGTACAGCTAAATTCAGTTTACTTCCATTTAAGGTATAACTTTAGAAATTAAAATAGTTTACTCAAATGAATACATTCTTGGGATTTCTTGTTGAAATGGTTGGGAAGATGATCATTTATGTAAACGACATAACAGTAGTGGTTCAAACATGGATTTTGGGTTCAGGAAAGTGCCAGCTCCACTTTTGATCAGTTGTCTAATTTTGGGCAAATTATTTAACATTGAAGTTTAATTTCCCTCATTTCTAAAATAATAATTTTTGCTTCATAAGGTTCTTGTGGAGATTTCAGGATAATGGATGTAAAATGAATAGGCCTGGCACTTAAAAGGTGAACAATAATTTTTAAAACAATTACACTGGCAGAGCTGGAGATATGTTCAACCTAAGGTGGATATGGAAGTGTCTTATAACTGATTTTTTCATGATTGTTTCTAAAGTCCTAGGGCTTAGTCATCTAGTAATTCTAAGTCAGCAAAATTCTATTAAGTGGACACTAGGTGTCAGTGTTCACTGTTTTTTTTTTTTAAAGATTCTAAAAAGGAACTTGTAAGTTCAAACAAAATCAGGCTAAGTATTGATTGCTGTTTTATGTTAGTTCTTTTGATAGTTTTATTCAGCTCATTTCTCATAATAACTACATTCTTGATCTGTACAACTATGCCTTCTTCTTGACTGAAGACTTGATTCAGCTACCCCACCCCCACCCCCTCCCCAGAAACTTTTTTTTTTTGGGGTGTTGAGGATTGAACCCAAGGCCTTGTGCATGCAAGGCAAGCACTGTACCAACTGAGCCATATTGCCAGCCCTCCCTTCCCTTTTTAAAAAGGTGTATTTCATCATTTACCTGAGTGGTAGAAAGATGACTGATTTGTTTAGGTTATTTATCCTGTTAGGAAACTCTGAATACTTCAGCCAGTAGCTTTATATCTACTGGAAGAAACTTCACAGACAAGGTACTTTCTCAGAAGTCTACTTAAGGTAAAAGTAGCTGCTTTTTCTGTACATCAACGTTCAATGTGTTGATATTTGCACTGATTCTACCATGAGTCAATGCAAATGTGTTTTTCTTATTTCAGTCCCAATCATTGCATTGCTTTTTTTTTTCTATTGTTTCTTTATTTTTGAAAAATTTTGCCTACTAGGGGTTGAACCCAGAGGCACTTTACCACTGACCTACATCTCTAGCCTTTTTTTATTTTTTATTTTGAGATAGGCTTTCACTAAGTTGCTGATGCTGGCCCAAACTTGTGATTCTTCTGCCTCAACTTTCCAGTCAGCAAGATTACAGGCATGCACCACCCACCTGGCCATTGTATTTCTTAAAAGGTATCTTTATAGTTAGGTAGCAATACCTTAATGGCAGATTTATAGCAAAAAGAATCTTTATAGCTTTCCCTTTGGAATGTCCTATGTTATGTCCTAGCTGTGCTCAGAGAGGTAGTTTTCATGGGTCACAGTGTTTTTCCCAGCTTAGCATTTCTGTTGAAAACTGGACTTTTCTATTTTTCCCTCCCACAACAGAAGCTTTATAATTGTTTTTCTGGTATCATAATACATTCGACTTACTAATTAATATTTATGTAGGTCTTGCATTTTACAAAGTACATTGCATAATTATCTTGCTTAATTCTCATAATAATAATCTGTGTTAATACTTAAGATGAGAAAAGAGATTCAGATATGACTTACCCAAAATTACAGTTAGAAGGTGATCTAGATCTGATTCAAATACCAGTCTTTCATCTCCACAGGGTATGTTTTTTTTACTGAAACTTAATGACTTAAGAAAAATGTTTTATATTTATTGCTGAGTGATAATGTTGAACGATTACTATTATTTTTGAGGCGGGGATTGTGCTGGGGATATAACCAGGACCTCATATGGGCTAGGCAAGCACTAAACTACATCCTAGGCCTGTTTTTTTCTTTTTTTTAAAGAAGGAGAAACCAGTTCATCTGTGCCTGTGTATTTAGGATGTTACATATTTCTTTGCAGTCTTCCCAAGGGCTATTTGTTGAAGAAACTTCTGAAGAAGGAAACTCTGTACCTGCCTCACAAAGGTGAGATTGCACGTTGTTGTGAGTTCCAGTCTCTTCTGATGGTATCAACATAAAGAAGATGAACCACATCAATGAGACTACATCTGGAAAACTTGCTAGGGAACTTTTAGCTCTTTTATAATATAAGCACAGACTAGGAGAAATCATTACTGTCTCCAAGTTTTCAAATATTCATCTCATAAAAGCCTAGAATATTGAGTCTGGAAGAGATCTTAGAGGTTTTCTTGTCCACCCTAGTTATTTTGGCATAAATCCCATTTATCTTATTCCTGAAAAGTGGTCATCCTGCTTCTCTTAACTAACCCTAGTTTCCTTTACCAATTTGAAGTTTCTAGATTGATTTCTTTATGGGCCTTGTATTCTTCTTATCTATTTCTCCATTTGTTACTTTTCTTATGCTTATTTCCAAACCTTGTATATCTTTTAAATCTACTCTCAAGACTTACATCCTCTTTGATGCCTATAATTATATTATTCAGGCCACATAGATCCTATGCCACTTTTAATTTGTTTGTATCTCATCTTTTCTACAAATGGTTTTATTTGTATTACCTCCTCCATTAATTTTTATTGATGATTTGTTGATAGGGTTACCTTCTAAGTCTTCTTATTTTAATAATAGATGATGATTGATTGGTTATAAACTGTGGTATTAACTGGATCAGTTTTCCAACCACTTTCTCCCTTTGTTTGGTAGTTGAGTTTTGGGAATTTCTCAAGAATGTAGTTTTGTATTAAGTGATTGTCATCTCCTATATAGAAGTTGAGGCCCAGTGCCATTTGCTGTAATGTAGGTAGTGTTCTTTCTTAGGCTTTTGGTGGACAGTACTAAGTATTTCTTCTTGGGCTGAAGAATATGGCTTTGGTTGATTCTCCTGTGGTTAAGACAGTTTTGGAAGTGTTTTTAACTGGAGTAGGCCTTCTGTTCCCTGTAGACCTTTCTGCTTTATTGTGGTGAGTCTGTGCAGAGCAGATGTAGGTTTTTAATAAATGATTATACACTTTGTCACCAGGAGAGAGTTGAAATTGCAGGCAATGTGGTTCGACTTCAAATTGATTAGCCCATTTTATAAATGTCAGCAAATTGTTTTGTGATGGACCCTTTGAATAGAGCCCTAATGTTACATGCAGAGTAAACTGTCTGGCTTGGGTTTGTAACAAATGCTATGAGATGTTTTATTTAGAGAGAGAAATCACTTGTGGTTTCCTGTCAAGATTTAGTTATTTATCTTGAGTCAGTGATGGCTGTTCTCTCTTTGTGGTTCTTGGTTGATATGAGAATTTGTGTTTTTAAGCGTCTTCTTGCATACTTGATCAAACTAATCATAAAATTCTGTGAAGCATGAGAGTAGTAGTTCAGATGCTCAGATCTCTGAGCCATGTGTTTCTGTGTCAGGAGGAGTTAGCATTCCATGAACAGGCAGGGAAAACCAGAAGGTTGGATGAGGGAAGCTATTCATAATTAAGTTTTCCTTGGAAGAGAGGTTGAACTTATATGGACAGATTTTTGCTGTGAGATAGTTTGGAATTGTATTTCATTTTTGTTGTTTGGAAAGCTACATCTTGAGATAAAGAGGAAATGTAACTGTGAGGTGATGGAAAAGTTAATGTGCTGTCGGGAGAATCTCTGTCTACTTTACATGTCTCTAGCCTTCAGAAGGCTGAAATGGAGGCTATAAAACACCTTTGACATTTTTTTTGTTGAAGTGGAATTTTTTGTCTTCTGTGATATTTGCAGATAATGCTTATCCTTCCACCTTCCTTTGTGAAGACTCCAAAAGGGGGTTTCTTTTCCTTCAGTTATTTCGCTGGAACCAAAGTTATAAGCATGTTTATTTTCCCTGTTTCTGGCCTAGAGTTTTCACTATGGACTCCTTGCTTCCCTGTTGTGCCTTTGTGGTATTGGACAGCAGGTATCAGATTGCTTGTGGCTTTGTGAATGACTCACTGTTGTTTTGGCCTGGTATTCTGATTTATTTTACTGGGAATTCACCTGGAGTTTGGTTCTTTTTCAGCATTGCTGCTTTGACCAGTAAGAGAAGCTTAGTCCTTATGCCAGAGAGTTCTGCAGAAGAAATCACTGTTTGTCCTGGTAAGCACCTTCCTATGATTTTACTGGATTTCTGATACCTTGCTAACTATCTTTTCATTCCTGACTGTTTAAACCATTTTCTGACTGTTCAGACCATTCTCAGAAAGCATATGTGTGATTGATATATACACACACACATACATATAGATGCATCCTTATATATGTTTATATTTTTAATGGTATATTGTTGGCTCTGATTCTCAATCTTTTCTCTTTCTAGGGGTAATTTGCTTTTGAAATTAACATATGACTTTTTTTGGTCTTCTTTTTGTCTACTTAACAGAAATGGCAGCAAAGAATTAGGAATAACCCTTACTTAACTGTACATGCAGAGCCAATAGGCTTTTATGTTTTGGTTATGTGTGCTCTAAAAGTTGGACTGTCCTCTTGTCTGCTTCATTAAGCAGATTTTTCTCTCAGCCTTTAACTAGTTTTGACATGGCCATTCATTGTTTTGTTTTGTTTGCATTTTTTGCATAGTGGGTCCAGAAATTGAATTTTGCACACAGTTCTGTGATCAGCTTCTTAGCAGGATACCCTGGTTAAGTGTGATAGTTTGCTTTTTGTTAATTGTAGAAATTAAAAGGTACTTATCTTGCTTTTAGGCATAAGAGGAACTCTTTCAAAGTTGCATATGGATGTATTTACGTATACAAAGTAATTTTTTTAATAATGAAATTTATTTTAATTTTTTTAAATTGTTAATTGACCTTTATTTTATTTATTGATATGTGGTGCTGAGAACCGAACCCGGGGCCTCACACATGCTAGGCATGCGCTCTGCCACTGAGCCACAACCCCAGGTCACATATACAAAGTAATTTTAAATGAACTGAAATACCTACTATCTAATAGAATTCTTGAGTTGAATCACTGTATGATATAAAGAATTTTTTTTGTGATGTAAATCATTACCTTTTTTTGGTGCCAGGGATTGAACCCAGGAGCACTAAACCACTGTTTTGTTTTTTTATTTTGAAACAAGGTTTCCCTAAGTTGCTCAGGGCCTTGCTAAATTGCTGAGGCTGGCCTTGAACTTGGAATTCTTCTGATTCAGCCCCCTGAGCCACTGGGATTACAGGCTTGACTAAACCCACTACATTTTAAAAAAAAATTTTTTTCTTATATTTATAGATGGACAGAATGCCATTATTTTATGTGGTGCTATGGATCGAACCCAGTGCCTCACGCATGCTGGGCACGCGCTCTGCCACTGACCTACAGCCTCAGTCGTAAACCACTACTTTTTAAGAAACTTTTCTTTTTAAAAAGTGGAGCCCCCCTCCCCCCCAAAAAAAGTGGAGCCCATTATATTTATCAATAATTTCATTCATGTGAGATTGAGGAACTTCTTAACGTTTAAATTCTTTGAACAGCAAGTGATGTACGGATGTTTCTATCAGTCATCTGGGTTTCCTTCAGGTCTTATATAGTCTGTCAGGATTAGAGATAGTCAGTTTTCTTTTCTTCAGTGTTTTTTTCCCCAAAGAGACTTGGAAACAAAGGAAAGCTCTGGAAATATTTTAAAATATTTGTTAGCCTATCATGAAGTTTTATTTATTTTAAAAATACATTTATGTTGATTTTTATTGAAAGTAGTTCCTTAGTTCATTTGAAAGGTATTTGGATCATTGCCTAATAATACCCATTAGGAGACCCCATTACAAAGTGCTGAGATTTTGGCAGGAGCATTCAAGAAAGCTATGTACTATCTTCATGAAAAGAAAGCTTAATCTCTTAATCTCTGTCTGGGATTCCTGCATCATGCCATCTTTCTGTGAAGTCATCTAGTCTACCTGTTTTGGATATGGCATGTGATGTCACATAGGATATTGTCGGAGGAACCTCCAAATATAATGATCTTGAAAGTCCTAGTTAGTGAGAGAAGGAAAAGCAAGCCCTTAATGACTGAAGTTAAATAACTTTTATGATCATGACTTGCTGTCATTAGCCTGCAAATGAAGTCCAAATATTTTCTGATATAAACTACTTCTAAATGAGATTGCAAAAGGTTTTCAAAATACTAATGTTCCCTTTGTTAAGAAAGTAGAACTAGTTCTCCATGAAACCAAACAAACTCCTGAATTTCTTTTTTGATATAGAATTTTTAAGCTATGCATCTAAATTGTACCAAAAAATTGTTCTAAATGGGTTGAAGCACAAATTGAATATAGATAGTTTGTTACCTGTTTCCTTTTGTCTCATATTTCTGACAGTTTCAGGGGTCTGATACTCAAAATTCATTATCTTTCTAGTGTTATTTACTTTGTTTGAAGAGGCAAGATTATAGACATATTGCGCCCACATTGCACATGCTGGTAGCATTGTTTATTTCTGAGGAGCTAACACCCTCTTGAGTTGTTTGTAGTTGGACATTCAGCTATTCACATAAAGCTTAATTAAAAACTTTTTATTATTGCAGTAGTCCAAGTAGTGAGCAGCTCTTATTTTTGAACAGACTAAATGTCTTTTATAATACACTCTCTCAGGGAAACTTAAAGAAGATTTTGAAGTATGTGCACTATAAGCCTTTTTCCATCAAGGGGATAAAAATCTGTGTATCCAATTTCAAAAAAATCATGATGTATTAAAATACATTTATTATTAGAAGTGTATTTAGCTCTTTTTTAATGATTCAGAAAATATTTTAGAATCTTTTTTTTAATATTTATTTTTTAGTTTTAGGTGGACACAACATCTTTATTTTATTCTTTTTTATGTGGTTCTGAGGATCAAACCCAGTGCTTCAGATGTGCCAGGCAAGCCACTTGAGCTATATCTCCAGTCCTAGAATCTTGTAGATAGTTTGTTTGCCTAACACTGGCTATTTATTGTATTTGTGAAGCACAAAAGTATCAGTTAGAAATAGTAAGTACAGTATCAAATAACAGAGAACTTACAGGATTTGCCTTCTGAGATAAATTATTTGTCCAGTTTGGGCTGAAACAATAAAATACATACACTGTGGCTTGTAAACAACAGAAATTTATTTCTCACAGTTCTGTAGAATGGGGAGTCCAGGATCAAGGCCTCTGCAGATTCTGTGTCTGGTGAGAGCCTGCTTCCTTGTTCATAGATGGCACCTTTTCACTGTGTTCACACATGGCAGAAAGAGGATGAAAGAGCTCTCTGACCTCCTTTTCTTTTTCTTTTTTTTTTTATATTTCTTTTTTTAGTTATAGATGGACACAATATCTTTATTTTATTTTTATGTGGTGCTGAGGATCGACCCCAGTGCCCCACACATGCTAGTTGGGTGCTCTACCTCTGAGCCACAACCCCAGCCCTCTGAACTCCCTTTTATAAGGGCACTAATTCCATTCTTGAGGTCTTTTCCCTTATATTCTAATTTCCTCCCAATCTACTTCAAATATCATCACATTGGGGGTTAGGATTTCAACCTAACATATGGAGTTTGGGAGGGATATAAAATTCACTTTCTGATATTTCTTTTATAGATTTGTTGTCATTTGGTGTATAATTACTGTGTGGTATTTTTTTGGGGGGCGGGGAGTACCAGGGATTGAACTTGGGGCCACTGAGCCACATCCCCAGCCCAATTTTGTATTTTTTAATAAGTCTCACTGAGTTGCTTAATGCTTTGTTTTTGCTGAGGCTGGCTTTGAACTCGCGATCCTCCTGCCTTAGCCTCTCAAGCTGTCGGGATTATAGGCGAGTGTCACTGTGCCCAGCAGTTACTATGCTTTTGTTATATTAAATGACAGTTGTCTAGAGCAGAGGTTAGCAGAGGCTAGCAGAGGTTTAGCAGACTTAAAACATTTTTTCACTTATTTTTTTCTCCCACCTCCCATCTTTTAAATAAAAGAAGACTAGTAAATATTTTAGGCTGTTTGGGACATGAGGTCTGTTGAAACTACTCATCTCTGTTGTTTTAGTGCAAAGGCAGCCATAGGTAATACATAGATGAATGAGTGTGGCTATGTTTCAATAGAACCTTATTTATAAAAATGGACACCCAGCTGGATTTGACCCATAGAGCTGTGTATAATTTCCTAGCCCCTAAACCAGACTATAAGGGACTCACAAGTTGCATCTCCATACTAGCTATAGATAGTAGAGTGTCTGGGACTTGTTCAATTAATATTTGTTAAATTAATTTTGAATTTATAGATGCTGCTTAAAGAATGTATTGAAGAAAGGCATATCTTTGTCCAGAATGCATACTCTATTTCTGGTCCCAATTTCTGTTTTTCCTAATCACCTCGTTAACCTCATGCCAACCTAATGTTGGCATGTTTTTGTTTTTTATAAAAATTAATATAGTTTGGAACTAGAACTACAGTGGAAATAAGCTAAATGGATCAACTGGTGAACAGATAAACAAACTGTGAAATATTCATATAATGGAGAACCAGTAAAAAGGAGTGAACAACTAACATGGGACAACATTTCAGAAACATTATGCTAAGTGAAAGAAGCTGGACACAAGACTATATATACTATGTGATTTCATGTATATGACATTTTAGAAAAGGCAAAACTATAGGAACATAAAGTAGATACTTATAATTAACTTAATGGGGTATTGGGAAAGATTTTTATTATTTATTTATTTGGTACCAAGGATTGAACCCAGGGCCACTTAACTATTGAGCCACATCCCCAGCCCTTTTTTATATATTTTATTTAGAGACAGGGTCTCATTGAGTTGCTTAGGGCCTCGCTAAGTTGCTGAGGCTGGCTTAGAACTCATGATCCTACTGCCTTACCCTCCTGAGCTGCTGAGATTACAGGCATGCACTGCCGCGCCCAACTGTTTTTTATTTTTATTGTAGTGGTAGTTATGTGATATAAATTGTACCATGTATAATTGGTATATTTGTTAAAACTCACCAAATTGTACATTGAAAATTGGTGAATTCTGTTATATGTAAATTATGCCAATAAAGCTTTAAGAGGAAACAGACTAGATCTGTATTGCCATTACAATAAACAAAGGGTAAAATAGGTGTTTGGTTTTTTAATTATTAAAACTCAAAATGAAAATTCATGGAATCTTAATTTTTTTAATTACAGAGACACAGCTAAGTTCCCCTGAAACTCTTGACCTTGAAAGAGAAGACTCTCCTGGTAGCAGAGAAACGCTGGATGAAGTAAGAATAATAATGGGAGACAAGGAGATGAATATTCTCCTCTATAGTTTTTCTTAGTTGTTTAATCCTGCTGGTTGTCTTTTTTCTAATGCAGTGTTGACTTTGGCTGAAAAGATTTAGGTGGCATAGGATTTTAGCTTTGGGGACATTTATCTCATGGAGAAATTTTTATAATTAAGATCAGTTTAGCACTGTTTCTAAAAATAAAAGTAGTTGCTATTTCTTGAATATTTTTATATGCATTATTTCTGTTACAGATGGGGAAACAGAGGCTTAGGATGTTTAATTTGCACTAGTTCTTACTGCTATTAATAATAGAACTAGAATTTGAATATTGGTTTGTCTCCGAAGTTCTAGGGCATTTTCTCTTACATACTGATATACAACAGAGATGAACAATCTTGGGAAAAATAACTATATGAAATAAATTTTCAGTCCTAATTTTAAAATGTTAGTAGAAATAACAAACCCAAGTTAAAATATATTTTCATTACTACCTTTTGTAGCTAACATTACATATCTTGCAAGAGCCATAAAGCTGATTGGTAGAAACTCATACTTCTGATTAAGATTCTTAGTGTATATTTTTCATGTTGAGTCTGACAAAGCAATTTAACTACCAGGAATTCTTTTAAAGAATTTAAGGTTTTAATCTATTGCTATGAAAAGCAGCTTAAAAATTAAGCAAATTCTTCTCTGGAAATAAAGATTTTGGTTATATTTGTGTTTACTATCTTGAAATGGCACCTTAAAAAATACTTAATTCTCATTCCTTTTTATTCTCTAGGTTTCTCCTCCTTATCGTGTGTGTGTGTGTGTGTGTGTGTGTGTCGTGCTGAGGATCTGTCCCAGGATCTTATGCATGCTAGGCAAGCATTGTACCACCGAGCTGCATCCTTCGATTTTTTTTTGAAAACAGTTTTTACCTTAAAAGTTAAATCTCTTCCTTAGTACTTCCCTTTCCCAGTACTGCAGGTAACTGGGTAGAAATTCTGCTTTCATGAATCATGCACACTGCCGGTTCCTTGAAACCTGATCCGTCACAACTGATAGACCAGGATTTCCTGATACGAGTGAGGGTAGGAAAGATGATGACACTTCCTTCCTCAGAGGTACTGAGGACACATCTTGCTAGATAATGTCAGAATGGCCTCTAGGTCCTTTTCCTAGCAAGGACACGGCCTTCTAAATGGGAACAGGGGGTCAGAGTAGTAATAACATAGTTTTCCAAACATACAGAAAAAGCCTTATAGAAGCCTTTAATTAGTTCATCAAGGCTGATTTCTTACCCATCCGTGATTGCAAAGGATACTATTTTGGGGGTCAAAAAACGTGAATCCTATTTGGAATTTATAGTGTGCATTCTGCACTACTCTGCCTCAAACAGTAGAGTTGTATAGCCTTTCTCACTTTAAATGTCCTCTTTTTCTATCTCTGTTAGCTGATATCTGGATATTCCTAAGTAGCCAGAAGTTTCCATTAAAAGAAGTTAAAAATACTGTGGTTTTTAAGTCATTGAATAATCACTTATTAGTTACAAGAAAGATAGAATTGAATATTTTCTGTGCATAAAAAGGATGGTGGACTCTTGCCTTTGAAATCTGTGAATACAGTTTTTTGTCTTCTATTGAAAGGTGGTATGATATAGTGTAAGGTTCTCGCACATTGGAATTAGAAGACATGGGTTTGAATGCCAGTCCCACCACTTTGTGATGTTGGACAAATTCATTGTTTATTCATTTATTAGGCAGGTTTTTATGGTTTTTATACTTTGTATTATTCATTGTTTTAAGACTCTTAGAGATGCCAAGATAAATTTAAAAAATAAAAAATGATGTTCCTGCCTTCACAGGGTCCTGATAAGGGAGAAAATAGACACATAAACAGATAATTATAATGTGGTCTGACAAATGTCATAGTAGATTCCTAGGGTATTAATGCAGCACAGAAGAGGACCGCTCTTCTGAATTTCACCTCTTCATATAAAAATTGGAGGCAAAATATTTTTATTTTTGGGGGTTGCTCTTCAGATTAAATTAGATAAGGATTATAAAACACTTAGCAGAGATTTGGTACAAGTAGAAGTGTACATGTGGAAACAGTTACTATTTTACTGCTTTGTGAGTATTGTGGCTGTTCAGTGATATTAGCTTACCAGTGATGGGTAGTTGCTCAGCACTGCTAAAGTCTGTGGAATAGCTGTGGCAGAACTGCAGCCCCTCTTGATTTGATTTCCCACAGAAGTCAGGTTTCTTTGAAAATAATGGTTTCTCAATATCATACCTGATTGTTTTCCTTAGTTGGATTCTCAGATAAATATTCTGTTTTCAGAGGAGTTAATAGAAATTATTCAGAGTTAAACGGTGAGTTTAATGAGTAATTTTTTTAAAGGTAACTTGTGTTAGAGTCCTAAATGGTAAGGAGAAAGATCTCAATAAATGACTCTCTAAACTACATCTAAACTGGGGAAAGGTTAGAGGGTTTGGTAATTTGTAGAACATGCCTTTTTTCCACTGGGTTCTTTTCTTGAGGTGAGGTTCCTTTTGAAGCCAAAAGGTAAGAACCAACCCTTTAAGGGATTAAGAATCAGTGTCTGAGTACCACTTTTAAGAAATTGCTGTTTAGTATTTTTAAAAAAGTAGAAATCATTCTGCAGAATCTACACAGATAAAAGCTGTGTTGCTTGTATTTTCCTCTTTGAGGTTCCTCTGTAGTAGTTAATTTAAATAGACCTTTTTAATGGCATTGGGGAAAATATCTTATTTTTAATATAAAAATTTTCAGAAAGCTTCTGGTTTTCCTGTGAATGTGGTTGGAAATAGTCTCATATCCATAAAATAATAATAAAGATTACTTCCTTTCAAATATATTAATAGTTTTGGGTACATTCTCTGCACTTTATAGAGTGGCAATGAATACAAAAGGAGTGTTGTAGTGCTATTGTGAGCACCAGTGACACTCATATTATCTCTGTACTTAGTGAACTTTAGAATTTCAAGTAACTGCTCAATCACCACTAACTTTCAGTAACTCAAGAATGCTTGTAAATTTTAGGATTTATTGATTTCCCTCTCTGCTCAAATTGCTTTGCCTGTACAAGACAACTTTTTCTTATGAGTTGTTTGAACAGAGGAACCTGAATTTTTGAGAAGCTCAGTGACTTGGCTTAGAATAACAGCACCTAGAAATTCCAGACCCACTTGACTTTCTGTACCTCCAAGAGAATAATAAAATCATGTAATCTCCCTGGTATGTTCGGGTTCAACTTCTAAAAACAAATGAGAAGGGAGGCTGTTTTTGCTTCTGCCATTTTCATTAATGAAAATACTGAAAGTTTTGATGTGAATTAGGCCTCGGTTTGAGTCTAGATTATTCACTTACTAACTTTGTGTTCAGCAGATTACTTTACCTTTCCAAGCTTCAATTTTCCTTTCTATACTACTGGAGCTAGTGATACCTATGTCCAGTTGGATTGTGAGGGATGGATATGGAAAATGCGTGGCAGAGCCTGGCATAGTGTAAGAACTTAACCACTGTTAGTTCCTTTCTCATCTTTCTGTTTTTCCCCATCTAGAATATGTCTTTTTAATATCAAGTAAGTGTGTTTGGCTTGGTATTTATTTTTTAATTTTTTATTTATTTTTTTTTTGGCTTGGTATTTAGAAGGTCTGTTTCCCTCTCTGCTGGATTCCATTCACAAACAGTAGATTTTAGAAATGGTCCAAATTTACAAACCAAAACCAAAAAATAAACAACAACCAAAACAACCACAGTTGATTCAGAGGTTAAATTAACTATACATTGCAATTTGGGTCCTATTTTGTTTTTATACCGGATGAGGACTTCTTTTTTTCACCCTGTAGTAAGGTATAATGACAGCCCAGATGCTCCTTGGTCTTAAGTGGAAGCAGTAGCTGTGCAGGACTGTTACACATTGATTGGATAGGACATGCTGTCCTTTGAAGCAAGAGTTAGGCAGTAGTGCTGCAGTGCCCACGCATACTGTTGAATTAATCACTGCAGAGTCCCTGGCTCTGACTAACCTGTGTAGGTAAAATAAAACTGCCTCTGAGAGACACTGGCAACTATAGGAGAAATGATGACTATAAAACACTGAGGAGTAAAGAAAGTTTAAGTGTGGCTTCAAAAGAATTGATTGTCTTATAATGACTTTTCTATGGCTCTTTGGGTCTTTGTGTCCCCTTTCAGTCCAAAAAGTCACAAATTAAACACAAGGTGTTATATCTTTTTGGTATAAGCACAGACCTAGGCTCTTAGGTTAAATTCTAATCGTGCTACTTTTGGCTTAGAATCTTTTGTTTTTTAATGCCTTTTATCTTAAAGTTTCAATGACCACAGTTTTCTTTTTTATGAGATTGAAAAGCATCTTTAAGATGCTATTGAAATATAAAATGTGAAACACAAGAGATAAACAGTATACTTGGGCAATGAATACCATGCAGTGTGGTAGATAGAGGCCAGTGTCCTCAAGGTTTAGAGCTATCTAGATAGTCCTTGTTTTGAATTTCAACTCTGACATCTATTTGTTTGTGTGTGACACTGTGCAAGTTCCCTTACTGTTTGGGGCAATACTTTTCTCATGTCTATGCCTTTGTAAGAATGTGAGAATTAAATAAGTAATTCATACATAGCGCTTAGTGTATAGCTGGCAACTTAGTATATTTAAGTATTAACTATAAGAGTAGTGTCTCCCAGGCCTTAGCCCTGAATTTGATACGTTGATTGGTATTGTCTCTTTGAAAGTAATTGGGATAGAATCTTTAGTGGGAAAGATAGATGATAAGCTAAAGATGTTACAATTCCTGTTTGTCACGTTCTTCAGGTTGGTAACAGGGAAGATGCTGAGAAGGATATGCCTACTTCTACCTTCTCATCTAGTACCCAGGTATCCTGCCCATTATGTGATCAAGGCTTCCCATCCACAAAGATTGAGCGACATGCTATGTACTGCAATGGTCTGATGGAGCAAGAAGCAGGTAAAGACTCATCAGGACAGCCAGACTCTTACTTTTATTTGTATGTGGTTTTGTAATCCTCTACAATTCAATGTAGGGAAAGCCGCTCTTCAAAGTTAAAGTTGCTTTTTTTTTTTTTTTTTGTAGTAAATTTTCTGGTACTTTCATGGTTTTTATTTGTTTTAGTATGTTGTTACTTGGACCTTAGGAGTGGGGAAGGAAAAACCCTTTCCTCTTTTAATGTTTCAACTTATTTGCTATAGGTAGGCCAAAGACCAGTACAATGCAGTAGTTGTAATCCCAACTCATATATTCAAATATTGAGATTCTGGTAGAACTTGAGAATCTAAGTCTAGTGTTACCTATTTTTTATTCAAAATAAGTCTCTTCTGGCTTTTTTGTTTGTTTAAGATAGAAATTCTACCTGGAGATAGCAGCTGAAAAATAACCCTAATTTATACTCGTATCCCACATGTCTCTGCTGAGTTACCCTGGAGCTATTGGTTTATATCTCTGAGAGTATACCAAAAGCCAGAGTTTTGGTGTAGTTTGGAGGGGTGTGTGTGTGTGTGTGTGTGTTGATACTGGGGATTGAACCTAGGGTGCTTTGCCACTGAACTACATCCCCAGTCCTTTTTATTTTTTTATTTTGATACAGGGTCTTGCTCAGTTGCTGAGGCTGGACTTAAACTTGTGATCCTCCTATCTCAGCCTCCTGAGTTGCTGGGATTATAGGCATGTCTGGCCAGTGTGAGATATTGATTAAGAAAATCTTCTTGTTAATCACACTCCTTGAAATATCATCCTGATCCTTCCTTTCTATGATTTCTACCTCTAAATATAGTAGCATTAGCATAGCTACCTTTCTGTGATCTGTCATATTGAATGTAACCCTTATATAGTAGGTGTTGCAACATTCTCTGCTTGATTCCTATAATAGATGTATTTAAATCTGAAATTGTATAGTTGTGAAGTATTTTATAAATTAAAATTTCCAAAAATAAATGAATAGTATTTAATTTTTCTGAAGTACTATACATCTTAGTTATTAAATAAGAAAGTATGTAAACTTGTAATTTAATGTTTGTGGATTTTTCTGATTATTAAGTAGTACATGTTCTTTGTAATAATAAGAATGGCTTACACTTATTGAATAATTAAAAGTGAGTATTCAGGCATTATTTTCATACATAGGAGGCTAAATGAGACATTTTTAGAAAAGGGCTTAGCAGTGTTTAGCACACAGTAAGTACTTAAGAAGCATTAGCTGCTATTATTATTCCCAATAGTGAAATTCCTAGGTCAAAGATTTTGTGGTCATTTTAAAAGAGCTTTATATATAGCATTGTAGTCTTTCAATTAGAATGAAGTTTGCAGACCTAAATCTGGCTGTCAACTCCTTTTAACAGAAGAGTACTAAAGGAATGGAGTCTAGCTGCAGTTTCAATTTGACACAGTTCTTTAGTCTGATTTTTTTTTTCTTTTTTCTTTTTTTAAGCTGAGAGTTTCAGTGACTAAAAGAATTCTGGGGCCAAGCCTTTGGTGTCCAGAGAGGGAAGAGATGATTCTGTCTTACTATGCATGCTTACTCACTGGTATTGGTCATCTGAGTCAATCACTTATTCAGTACTGAGGTCTAGAAATAAATGAGTTTGAGAAGCTGAATGTCCCTGTGAACTCTAAGAGTAGATAACTTCCTTCAAGTCCTAATTATTAGGTAAAGAGTAAAATAGAGAGGCTAGGGTTGTGGCTCAGTGGTAGAGTGCTCACCTAGTATGTATGAGGCACTGGGTGTGATCCTCAGCACCACATAAAAATAAATAAAATAAAGCCCATCAACAACTGAAAAAATATTAACAAAAAAAAAAAAAAAAAAGAAGAAGAAGAAGAATATAGAGTATCTCCTACTGGTATCTCCCACATCAAACTTTGCTATTTTGTGCTTCAATAGGAACCTCTGGCATTCATTACTGTCAGATATCTATAAGCTACATGGTATTTGCATTCAGGCCTTTTCCTTACTAGCGTATGGCAGGGGAATATTTGCTGTAAAAGAATTTGGGCTTGTGTTTTAATTTTCTCAAACCAAATGCAGACTTGTATTACCAGTACCAGGTTGTTCTTATTGAACTTGTTAAGCTGATACGATCAGGTGGACAAAATAGACTGAGACTAACTAACTGTCTTCATCATTCAGGCAGAGCCTTTCAGGTTCTTATTTTACTGGGTCCAGGGTCAGTGACTCAGTCTGATGCTGCTCAATTGGATTTGCTTTCTGGGTCTTGTGGACTTTCAGACATTTTGGGTATAAATGTGTTTTCTGACATAATAGAAAGTCCTAATATTCTAATAGCTCTGATACTATATGTCATCCTAATGTCTCAGACCTCTGTCTGAAGATGTTGTTACCGGCAGCCAAGCCAGGCAAATTGCTTGGAACCCTGGTGGCCAGATTTGGTCATTCCTCTGCATAAGAAATAAGTAAATGATGTAAAAAGGGAAAATGATTTTTACATAGCTTGATCAAACTGGGGAGAAGCAGCTAGATTGTTTCTCTATTGGTCCCATGGAAGCAGTTACAATTTATAGAAACAAAAGCTGGTGATATACATATGTAGATATAGCTAGGCTGTGCTTATCCAGAGAATATGTCAGTTTTAGCTTTCTTGGCATCTGTCTGCATCATGAGGAAGTTTTTAATTCTCAGCATGAGGAAGTTCAGGAGCTCTCTGCTATATCCTGAATAACAGTCAATCTTTCTTTTTCAAAGGGACATTTGTTTTGAGCTATCTAGAACATTACATTCTTCTTTTCAGTGTCAACTCATCTAGATCCTTTTTGCCACTGATTCTTATTTACCTTTTAATTCATCCCAATACTTATGAAATACTTTTTAAATTGTGGTAGGCCTTACTTATGGAGTTTGCTAAGGAAGTTTAAGATAAGATTTCTGCCATCAAGGAACTTGCAGTCTCTTTGGGGAAATAAGCATTTACCTAAGAAGATTAATTACAAAGTGATATAGAGTGAATGGTTTATACCCAAGTGAATGTCCCTGAAAGTAAGTATAATCAGAGAAAAGTGCCACTGAATTGGAATGATGTCCCAGAGACATCATTTAGTCTAGACTGTGAAATCTGGGTAGGTTTAAATAAACCTATAAGAGAGTAGGGGGCCCTTTATCCTCCTGTGAGTTTAAATAAGAAGCAAAGACAATGGCCACTGATCAATAATTCTAATAGTGTTAACTTGTTAACCAAACTTACCCTTTTTGGTGACATTTTAGGCCCAATGAGAGAGTTTGGAGCAGGGAATCCTCATTAGAACCACCCTATTCCTCTACTTTCTTGGGAACAGAGTTTGGGGGTATAGGTAGGCTGGAGAAGTGATTAGAGGAATTGTGTGAAGAACCTATTAATGTTTGTGTCAGTCCTTAGTAAATTTGACCTCTTAACTTGATTTCCCCAGTAGCTTACCTGTCCTCATTTTCTTGCCAGATGTAAATTAGTGATTGATTTTGTTCAGCTTTGTGACATGACCAAGGCCTGGCTGCCAGTGCAAGGAAACCTCTCCTGCTGTAGAAGGAAAAGTTACTCTTTTGAAGACCTAACAGTTTGAGAGATCATTAGCGCCATGTCTAAGGGGTGGAATAAGAGACGACTTTCAACCCAGAATTAGGTATCCAGTTTACCCCTCCTGTTTTTCTGTGAAGCTGATCCTAGAGATGCTTGATTTGGTTGTGTAAGAGAAATAGTAATTAGAGTCATTTACATGAAGCACCTACCATTTATGCCTAGTTACCATGCAGCACAATAACAATTATGCATATCATTAAATATGTGTCTGATTAACTTTGCTGTAAGTTTTATTTGATTATCATACTGCATTCTGGTTAAGTTGGTTTGTCTGCTCAGTTTGCTCAATGACATGGCTGTATATTGAGCACTATGAAAAAAATTGAGGACTGTTGTTTAAAGGCATCATCTGAGAGGTAAGATTTGCTGAATTGACCTAGACTAGAACAAAGGCAGATTGCCTTTGCTTTCACTTTCTGCAAAATGTATTTGAGATCATTTTTACTCAAAATGTATTTGAGATCATTTGGGAAGAATAAAGCTCTGTACTTACTCATTCAATAAATATGTATGTATTAATAACCTGCTATATTCCAGATACAGTGAACAGAATATTTCAAGTTCCTATTTCCATGGAGTTTTTAATCTAGTACTGGGAGCAAATAATGGAAAATAAATATGTGGTATGTCACACAGTGATAAGTATTTTAGAGAAAAAAATAACAGCAGAAGAGCGGGATAGGGAGTACTAAGGTTAGGAAGTAGCAATTTAAAATTGGTGGTCAATGAAGGTCCTATTGAGAAGATGGCATTTGAGTAGACACCTAAAGGAAGTGAAGGAATTTTGAGACAGGGAGGAGAAAGTGTAACAGGCAGAGAAACCAGTAAATTTAAAGATCCTGGGGTTTGAACAGCCTAGAGTAAGGCTGGAGTTGAATAAATGAGAGAGAAAAATGAGAGAGAATTGGGGAAGGGAGGGGTAGGCAGACCAGGTACTCTTTGGTCTTAATAAGATCTTTGAATTTTTCTCTGGATAAGGGAGTAACCATTGGAGGGATTTGAGCAAAGAAGTAATGTTAAGTAAAGGATCACTTTGATTGCTGAATAGAAAATAGATTATTAGAATAGGGACAAGGCTGGAAGGTAGGAGATCAGAGTCAACATCTCATATTTGGCAGTATGATAGTGGAAGAAATGTGGGCTGTGTGACTAGACAGAGCTGGACTTAAATTTTAACTGTGTTAGGACCAGACTCCATATTTCTAAAATTAGTTCGACAGTATCAGGATTGTCATGAGAATCTGAGTCACTTTATAAAGTATGTAGCTCTGTGCTTAAATATTCAATAAATGTTGCTATTATTATTGACTATTTTTTCCTGTATATTTAATTTTTCTGAGGTCTGTGTTTCTATGTGCTAGTACATAAAGGATAAGCTATCAGTTG